CAGGTCAATATCTTTGATCAGATCAGCACTATACCAGCGTTCACATTAGTATAGTGCCCCCAAAAATGCAGCGTTAGTGGGATCAGCCCAGGCACCTGCCAGCACCTGTGTTTAGCCCCTACGCTTACCCCCCCCCCCCTTCTCCCCCAGCAAGTGCAATGTCAGTAGGTCACTGTCACTTGATACATTGCACACAAAACCGCAGTGTTCGCAGAATCAGGCCTGATCTCTGTTAGCACTTGCCGGTAAATTTTGATGACTCTCATATGCAGCAGAGTGCCAGTACAAGTGCCGCTCTACATTTTGGTGAACTGGCGAGTAGCAGCGGTCTAGTACATCTTGGTCTTTCACATACCTCCTTGATTTTTGGAGCTGTTTTTCACGGAATATCTGTATGCGTTGATTGTGGATCAAAGCAATTTATATGCACAACAATTTATCACCGCCAACCCAAATTCAAACTTTGCCAGACCATTCGCATGGAAACTCATTACGCTTTTCGAATTTACATTTTTTGGGGGCCTAACCCTCAACATGGGCATTACGAAAATAAATGAATTGCGGTTGTATTGGTCCGCAGACCCGATTCATCATATGCCGTGTTCTCTGCTGCCATGGCCAGGCATAGATATGAGAGTATAATGTGTTTTATGCATTTCAACGACAATACACTCTGTCATCCTCGGGGTAACCCTAAACTTGACCGGCTCCACAAAAATTCATCCCCTCGCAAATCACCTTAACCAAAAATTTGCAGATGTCTATACTCCCCGGCAAAACATCTGCATTGATGAGTCCCTCATTAATTTTTTCTGGCCGCCTCGCATTCAAACAATTTCTCCCCTGCAAGCGTGCCAGATATGGGGTCAAGATGTAGAAGACCTGTGAGAGGACAACAAGTTATACTTAAAAGTTTTGGATTTACCAGGGAAAAGATAGTCACATGGAGCCCCCTGGATGCCCAGACTACATGGGGAGCAGTGGCAAGATAGTTTGGGACTTGGTGTCATCCTTTCTCCATATGGGGTACCACTTATACGTGGACAATTTTTATTCAAGCGTGCCACTATTTAGACATTTATTCAATCTTGGAACTGGCACTTGTGGCAAAGTGTGACCTAATGTGTGCCCACCATTAGAAGTGGGTGGATGCAGGGCGGTATATTCTAATGGTGGGCATACCACACACTTTTTCTGGCAGAGATTTCTTCTCTTTTTTTCATTCAGTCCACAGGCTGCATACAAAATTAAAAGAACATAGCATATACACCCAACAAGGATCAGCGATGTACTGGCACATCACTGGATTTTGAATGGTTATACCAGGATGATGCCTACAGCTGCAGGCATAATCCTGGTATCGACTGTTTTCAGCCGGCGATCGGCTTTCATGTAAAAGCAATCCTAGTGGCTAATTAGCTGCAGGATTGCTTTTACAAGCAGTGGGAGATTATGCCCCCCTCCCCCCCTGCCTTCCACGGCCTTCTCGTGCCATCGGGGGAACCTGAGAATGCAGCCGGTGTTTCTGCCAGCTGACTATAGAGCTGATTGGAGACCAGAGTGGTGCCAATCATCTCTATAGTCTAAGAATTTGGAAGCTACAAGCATTTCATCACTTCAGTTTCGCAGGATATAAACAGCGCCATTCGTAAATTGGGAAAGCATCTGATCACACCAATTTTGGTTTGATTAGATAATGTAAGGGCCGAGGAGATATCCAGAGTCTGATAGACCCCAGATTTCTCAAAAAAGAATATATGACAATGCCCACTGAAGTTATAGGGGATATTTGCATTCCCTGTTATAGCATTAAAAGTGATCAAAAGAAAAAAAACGAAAGGAACAATGTAAAAATTAAAAAAAATCAAAATAACTAAAAAAAAAAAATCGCCCCTCCCATGTGCACACACCTGTGTGCACAAGCCTTGACCCTGTGCCGGTATGTAAACAGCGGTTGCACTATGCATGTGAGGTATCGCCATGAACGTCAGATCAAGGGCAGTAATTCTAACACTAGACCTCCTCTGTAAATCTAAAATGGTAGCTTTTAAAATGTATGCAGTTTGTCGCAATTGCACAGGGCATGCGCAGTTTTAAAGCATGTCATGTTTGGTATCTATTTACTCGGCATACCATTATCTTTTATATTTTACTAAATAATTGGCCAACCATATTGTGTTTTTTTTTGTGCATTAAAAGTAAAAAAAGTGTATTTTTTTTTAAATTTGCTTTAGAAAAATCGCTGCGCGAGTAATATGTGACATAAAAAATTGTAGTATCTGCCATTTTATTTACTAGGGTGTCTGCTTTAAAAAAATATATAATGTTGGGGGTTTAAATTATTTCCTAGCAAAAAATACTGATTTTTTTCATGTGAACAAAAAGTGTCAGAAAAGGCTTGGTCTTCAGGTGGTTAGAAGAGTGAGTGATGTGTGGCATAAACTTCTAATGCTGGGCATAGAATGCCCCCACCCCCCAAAACGACCCCTTTTTGGAAAGTAGACACCCCAAACTATTTGCTGAGTGGCATGTTGAATCAATAGAAGAATTTATTTTTTTACCACAAGTTTTTGGAAAATGACAAAAAAAAAAAAATATATATATATATTTTTTTTACACAAAATTGTCACTTAAATTATTTACTGCTCACACAGGCCATCGGTATATGTGGAATTACTCCCCAAAATACATTCTGCTACTTCTCCCGAGTATGGGGGTACCACATGTGAGACACGGTTTGGCAGTCTAGCCAAGTACAGAACCCCAAAATCCAATAAGCACCTTCAGGCTTTTAAAGGGCTTTATTTCCTCATTACACTTCCAGACTACCTATCACAGTTTCGGAGGTCCTGAAATGCCAGAATAGCACCTACCCCCCCCCCCCCCCCCAAATGACCCCCTTTTGGAAAGTTGACACCCCAAGGAATTTGATAAGAAGCACGGTAAGTATTTTGCAGATCTCATTTGTTGCCACAAGTTTTTGGAAAATGAAGAAAAAAAACAAACATTTTTTTATATTTCAAAACCTTGTGATAAAAAATGAGATCTGCAAAATACTCACCATGCCTCTTTTTAAATTCCTTGGGGTGTCTACTTTCCAGAAAGGGGTCATTTGGGGGGGGGGGGGGGGGTTGGTGCTATCCTGGCTTGTCAGGGCCTTCAAACCTCTGATAGGTAGTGAGGAAGTTACGCACCTTCAGGCTTTTAAAATGGATTTCAGGCTTCTGTATGTGGCGCTCCCAAAAAGTCTCACACATGTGGTATCCCCATACTCGGTAGAAGTAGCAGAATGTATTTTGGGGTGTAATTCCACATATACCCATGGCTTGTGCGAGAAATAAATAATTTAACCACATGCCACCCAGCCACTGTAGAAATAGGGCGGCACGGCTGGGCAAAACCACGTTTTAAAACGTGTGTTTGCAAAACAGGTAGGAGGCGCGCCACCGTCCTACCTGTCCCGCCGATCACGGCCGCGGATGTCAGTTGCTGGGTCACAGCCGATTGTTACCGGCTGTGTCCTGCCAATTTGCGGCAATCACTGACAGAGAGCAGGGCTGCAGTAGCTCTGCTTTCTGTCAGTTCCCTGTCAGCTCCTGACATGCTGAGCCGGAGAGAAGAGTTTATCTTTCCCGATCAGCGTGTCCCCGTGCAGTACACCCCCGCCCCCTAGTAAAACACTCCCTTCACACAGTTAGCCCTTTCTGTAAATAAAAAAGTTAACCCCTTCCTCCCCAGTGCCATTAGTACAGTGTCAGTGTTTTTTTTTTTTGCACTGATCACTGTATTGGTTTCACTGGGGATGTCAGTGACCCCAAGTCAGTTCCCCCCCAGTGTCAGAATGTCTGCCGCAGTCCCGCCATAAGTCGCTGATCGCCGCCATTATTAGTATAAAAAAAATTAAAAATCCAAGTATCTTTCCCGCCATTTGTAAACGCTATAACTTTCACGTAAACCAATTAATTTACACGTATTGGGTTTTTTTTTTTTTAGCAAAGACGTCGCAGAATGCATTTTGGCCGAAATTTATGACGAAATTTGATTTTTAATTTTTTTTACTGGACATGTTTTATAGCAAAAAGTCCAAAATAGTTTTTTTTTCTCAAAATTGTCAGCCTTTTTTTTTTTTATAACGCAAAAAATAAAAACCGCACAGGCGATCAAATACCACCAAAAGAAAGCTCTATTTGTGTGAAAAAAGGACATAAATAAATAAATGTAAATGTATGTTTGGAATTTTTATATTTGATAAATAGCAGCACAAATATGGTGTGACAAAGAAATACAACTTCCAATATTTTATTCTACAGGGTCACTGCATTTAGAAAATATATCACGTTTTGGAGGTTCCAAGTTAGCTGTGCATTTTAAGATGTGCAAAAAAAAAAAAAAAAAAAAAAAAAACACCTCAAAACATTCAACACACGCTGATATGGAACGTAAACTGAATGGCAACGTACATCTTGAATAAACAAATCTGTAAATCCATTTTTTTTTCATTAAGGAACTTTATTTCTTAAAAAGGAAATATATTCCACACTGGAATTTACATATAAAAAAAAAAAAATAAATGTGATCATCCCCAATTCTGCAGGCTGATACTTACAGAAAACATAAAAGAAACATACTGTACACTGAGAAAATACATAAGCTGCTGTCGAAGTCCTCACTTGCAAACACTTGTTACTGACAAGCTATTGATTTAAATCATGTATGCAGATCAGAAATTCCAACTTTTAAAATCACTAGCTGAATGGAGGTCAGTGACTCAAAATACAAGCATTTTCAAAAGAAAATCAGCAATTGCTGCCTCTGTATTTCAGTATAAATTTTCGTTAAATGCAAGTCACAATCAAAAACATGGCTATTAGTCCCAGCAGTCTGTTAACTGCTAACATTCTTTATAAATCACTGTCTGAGCAATCCATGTTGGATTTTTCCAGGCATGCTGGGGCCTCTTCGTTCATCACACCAATGAATGAACCATCCTCCTTATCTGTTTAAACCTTTTTCAGGGATGCCAAATTCTCTTCATCTGTGGCACTACCCTCCTCATGATCTGTAATATCATTTGCATCTGAGTCCTTGTTCTTTGGCAGGCTTTCACCTTCTGTTATGCATTCCATATCCTCAACTTCTGTCCGGTCAAGGGTTGCTTCTGACTCCGTATTAGTATTTCTGGTGGTTTCTTTTTTTTCCTTAAAAATTTCCACCCCCATCATTCTCAAGTAATGCAATCTCTCATTCTTTGGAACAAAGGAACGGATGGAGGTTTTACCTCTCCAACCTACCAGAACAATAGGACACTGAAGTGTTTCAGGTTTCCTATAAAAGAACAAAAAAACAAAAAACACATTAACCAAACAATCAATCAGTATTAAACTGTTCCAGGCTTTTGCACCTAAAAAAAAGTTAAGCACAGTGCATTTATGTTTCAAAACACTTTTCTATAGTAAAACTTGAAAAAAAAATACAATTTTTGTAAAACAAAAACACTCAGTTACTATGGACTGGAATTCCAGGGATTAGCAGTATTTACTAGCTCTGATGTTCTGTAACCTGCAACAGAGCAATGCACCTGGCTTCACAAATCTGGAGTGCATTTCAAAAATATCAATAGTGCTACTTTTATATATAGTAAGCAATTTAATTATACACCCATTTATGCAAAGAAAAAAAACACAGTTTAAGATAATCTGTAAAGTGAAAAGTGTAGTGCATCTTCATATACTTAATGCCTGTTTCCTACCCTCCCAATACAACATAAACGCTGACTATATAGCTTATTCAGCTCAATGAATCATAAGAGGTTTTTTGTAGGTCAGACCTGCTCAGCTATAACAGTGTATACCTTGAACAGCATCAGCATGCAAATAATGGTAGTGGTCTTTATCCCTTTTGTGACCAGTGGAAATTGATGCCTAGATACCCAGGCCAAATTCAGCAACATCATCATGCTTTAACTTTGAATAACTCGTATACCAAAATGCCTAGGTCAATTTTCAGCTTTTAGCGCTGTTGCACTTTGAATGACAATTGCGCAGTCATGCAACTCTGTACCCATATGAAATTTTGGTTTTGTTTTGTTTTTTTTTACACAAATAGAGCTTTCTTTTGGTGGTATTTAATTACCACTGGGTGGTTTTATGTTTTGCACTATAAACAAAAAAAAAAGCAAAACATTTGAAAAAAAAAAGAAAGTTTTTCATTATTTCTATTGTAAAATTTTGCAAACAGGTAATTTTTCTTCTTCACTGATGTGCGTTGATGAGGCTGCACTGATAGGCAGCACTGATTCTTAGATTGTAAGTTCCAAAGAGCAAGGACCTCCTAACCCTCTTGTAATGAACTGTATCGTTGCTGTATTGTCTCCCGTTATATTGTAAAGCGCTGAGCAAACTGTTGGCGCTATATAAATCCTGTATAATAATAATAGTAATAATAATGAGGTGGCACGGATAGGCAGCACTGATAGGCTGCACTGAGGAGGTGGCACTGGTGGGCATTGATGAGGAGGCGCTGATGATGCTGCACTGATGGGCGACACTGACGGGCACTGCTCGGCACTCATGGGCACAAAAGCTGGGGGCATTGATGGGTGGCACTGCTAGGTACTGATGGGGGGCACAGCTCATCAGTGCCGATCTGCTCTGTGACAGTTGCCAGTTATCAGCAGTACTTTCCTCACGCTGTGACAGTGTGAGGAAAGTGCTGCCGATAACCGGGAACTGTATCTATTCCGTAATCTGCTATGTAATTGGACACAGCTGATAACGTGATGAGGTAAAAGGCCAATCACAGCGGCCTGTTATCTCATCATGTGATCAGCTGTGTCCATAGGACTCAGCAATCACAGAGATCGCCGGATGCGTGCCGCTGGGGGCATGCAGGAAGATGCGTTCTGGAAGGACAGCATATGACGCCTTTCCAGAACTGGACAACCACGCTGTAGCCGTCATTCGGCTATAGTGCGATTAGCAAGTGGTTAATGCACACAAAATCCCAGCTCTCTTTTTAAACACAGCAATTGTATTTAACAATTACAGTACTAAACAGAAGAACACCATCCCATTCAGGCAGCAGGTATCTGTGGGCTGAAAGCTTATCTTTTGACTGACACCTACAGCCTGTTTGTGATTACTATGTCATGGCTGGCATAATGATCCCATGATCAGAAACCACCAGGATTCAGAGCCACCAACTGTGCAAAGTGTTGGCTGGAGGCTTTCAAAGGGAGGATAATTTATATACATATTCTTAGCACAGGGCAGTATGTGGTGAATATTAATATAAATACTGCAAGCAGAAATGGGTTATGCTGCAAAGACAGTTAAGATGCAAACAATGCTAATGTAGTGTTTTTTTTTAACTTGTATCAGCATATAACAAATTAATCTGTTATTCGCTTGTTACGCATGGAGATCACATGCACTTATAAACATTTTAATCGGTCAATAAAATGGCACACTTAAATATAATAATTGAGAATTACTTACTGTGGATCAGGCTCAAATTTTAGAACAATGCTTCCCATATCTGAGGATAAAAAAAAAATATATTTTGTAGAACCCTCAAGTATTTATAGTGCAGTTCTCTCCTAGCCAACACAAACTATTCACAGTGTGAGGATTAAAATGTTCTAAACAAATACATGTGCACCGTTGTGAGAGCAGATTATATTACATGAATAGAGGAGTTAAACTGCAATTAGAGTACATTGTGATAGAGAGAGTCTGGTAGTATGCCAGTGCTTGAATTGCAGTGCATGTGGCATGTTCAAGAAAATGAAACATAGATTTGGTCTGTCTTCTTAATCCCCCAGCTTTCTGCTGCTGTATTTTTAAGCCTTCAAATTTAATGTGTTACGCAAACGTCAAGTATGGACAGTGGTGATAATTTACTGAATATGCTAAACCTTTCAGAAACTCATGAGTTTGAAAACACAAGACAAGTTACAGTTCATAAAAACCTTTAAAGTTCCAAATAATAAACTTATTGTACCATATGATAGCTTTAAAGACTTAAATCAGGAGTCAACAAACTATTATGCAAAAGAACAGATAAACTGTGGGCTGACCTGTGGTAATTGTGTATATAAAAATGCCCCAGCATTGAAAGTCAGTGGGGTTTTTGCAGATAGACTTTTTTTTGTTTCTCCCACTATGTCAGTGGTTAGTAGGAGTAATAAATGTCCCAGAGCTGGTGCTCAGAAAAAGAGTAATACATTCCCTTAAGCTGGTGTACAGAAAGAGTAATACATTTCACTGTTGGTCAGTAAGAGTATTAAAAAAAAAAAAAAAAAAAAAAAAAAAAGTTTCCTTTGCCTGTGGTCAGCATTGCTTAAAAAAAACAAAAACAAAAAAAAACAAAAAAACAGGCCCCCCCCATACCTCACTGAATACTCTAAATAATGTTCTACCACAGGTATCAGGCAATGAGGAGGCCCAGCATGCAGCACCTTCCCATTGCAAGGGCCAGTTCTTGGCAACCAGCCTATGGGGTTGCAGTTTGGGGACTTGTGAATTATGAGATTTTGACTGCAAACAACAGGTACATGGCTCTGGGAGTTTCAAAATAGGAAAGACAGGTGGAGAACTGACTAAGCCCATCCTCAAAGTCACACTGCAGTTGCCCTGATACAATGAAGTCGGCTACTCTCTGACATCCATTAGAACAATTCTTTCTTGGCTACATAGTAGGATACAGTAGTAACATGCCAACGCATTTCCGCCTAAAGGTTTACTCAAATGCTAGGAGTAAGGCTTTGGCGGGAACGTTAGCACATAACAATATCCTGCTATGTAGCCAAAAAAGAATAGTTCCAATGGATATCACCAAGCCTCATTACTTTAGAGGATTATTGCTACATTTCAAAAAGGCACTTGGGCCAGAGCATCAGTTCCTAGTCTCCCAGATAATCTGTGGTAGAGCATGTTTCTTTGTACACTGCAGATGCTACTCTTAACTGTCCTAAACTACAGCCACCTCCTGTACAGACATATTAATAAAAAAAACAAGATGCTCAGGAGTCCCTCCTCCTAGGAGGGCAACTGGCAGGGTTTAAGTGCAGTATATTTTAAAGGAAAACAGTTTACCATTCAATTCTTTAGATAAAAAAGCAAGTGAGGTGGGAAAAGTCCCACAGGAGCTGCTATAAGAATACAACTTTGCTGGTAGAGAGATATCAACCACACGGCATTATAAACATGGGATTTTTTGACCGACCTGTAAAATCCTTTTCCTGAAGTATATTACAGGACACAGGATTTTAGTTTTAGACGATTAGGTTTTGTAGTAACATTCAGGAACAATGGCAAAGTCTTAGCATAACCTCTTCAACGCTCAGCAAGCCTCAGTGTAGCAGCAAGCAATAAGGAGTGAAAAAAGAACAGAGTGGAGAGATCAGTCTCCTGAACTGTACTTTAAGAAAAGGATTTTTACAAGTAAAAAAAGAAAAAAAAATCTATTTTCTTAGTTGTACATTACAGGACACAGAATCTGAGTCTTAGACAACTGGGATATCCAGATGTCTAGGTGGGCAACACAGCAAACATGCCAAACAGGCCTAAGTAACATACAGCCTTACACCTGAAACTGGTATCAGGAGAGGCCTTAACATTCACCTGGTAAGACTTGTCAACAGAAAATGAAGTGGCAGCCTTGCAAATGTGAGACAGATGCGTGATGCTAGGAATCCCATGAAGCACGAACAGATTTAGTAGATTGTGCCTAAACAGGAAGGGCAGGAACCTTATCCTTCAGAATAAATGACAACTTGTCTAATCCACCAGGCATTAGTAAAATGAGAGTCAGGATGCCCCTAATGGGGACCTTCAGGAATGACCAAGAGTGAATCTGAATGTCTAAAAGAGGCTGCAGTTGAGAGGTAGAGTCGCACGGTACATGCCACTTCCAAACAGTGGACAGAAAATTTCTCTGGAATGTTTTGGAGCAGGACAGATAAAGCAGAACAGTGTCCTGTTAAGGTGGAAGGAAGAAACCACTTTGGGATAACCTTACCCCAGTGTAACACAAGGAAAGGTTCTTTAAAGAACAAGGCAGCTAACTCCAAGACCAAACAGGATCAATCTGGGCCTCCCTGCTTCCCCCCCAAGATAGACATTCACTGAGCCCCAACTCAGACTTGCCCTCAGTCACCGGTGCTGCCATCCCTTCCTCTTTCCCCATGAGGTGGTTCGGCCCGGTCTCAACTGCTACTGGCAGAGATTCTGATACGCCAGCAAACCATTCTCTGCCATCCTGAAAGGTTGAGTAAAATACTCGTGAGCTACTAAGGTGGTATTAACAAAAAACTACCTATTAAAAAATAAATTATTAAAGTGGTGCATCAACACTGGTACACACTCATAAAACTGTGTATAGTAAACAAATAATAAATTGTGTCACGCTCCACCCAAAAGTATATTCATTGTGATAAATAATAATATAAATCCTCCCACACAACCGTGCAACTGTTTACAATCTTAATAAAGATTTTCAGTGGTATAACCTATTTATCCAATCAGAAATGAAAAGTAAGATGCCATACCAAAAACCATGATGGCAATAATATAATATTAATAATGCAAGTGAAATATACCAATCATGTGTGACATCAAAACATTTGATTAAAAATAACAGAATCAAAAATAAAAAAATATAAATAAAAATGAGAAATAAGTTTCAAAAAATAATAAAAATAATAAATAAAAACTAAACAATTGAAAAAATGAAATTAAAAATATATATAAAAGTCGTCTTTGTGATCTCACTGTGTTGACCTCACTCTATAGCCCGACCATAAAGGAGGCTATATAACCTATCAGGTCCTTAGTTAAACCAAATGTAAGATGTCCGTGCTACAATCAAATCTAAATACTAGTGGGTAAACTGTGATAGTAATTTCCTTCTACTGGGGGTCTCTTGATCTCCCTTCTTGGCTGTAAGTGAGGGATGGATGGATGAGGATTTCTCCCCTTGTCCTGCAGGGGTCTGTCTCCTATTTTCTCCTCTCCCCTTTATTCCTCCAGTTGAAGCATGAAAGACATACGTTTCCACATAGTGCCTGATCTTTGGTGATAAATTTTATTAAATGCAGAGACAAAATGCACACTCACATTATAATAAAGATAAAATCGCGGTTGTTGTATCAGTGTGTGCTCGTGCACACTAACCGTACTCGCCGTTCTGCTGATTCATATGGCGTCGTGACGTCAGAGCCCCTCCCCTACGCGTTGCGCCACAGGGTCACGTGGCTTCCACAGGTTAATTAGTAGACGCACCCCGCTGTGTACTGTACACAGCAGGGTGCATCTACTAATTAACTAACCTGAGGAAGCCACGTGACCCGGTGGCGCAACGCGTAGGGGAGGGGCTCTGACGTCACGACGCCATACGAGTCAGCAGAACAGCGAGTACGGTTAGTGTGCACGAGCACACACTGATACAACAAACGCGATTTTATCTTTATTATAATGTGAGTGAGCATTTGTCTCTGCATTTAATAAAATTTATCACCAAAGATAAGGCACTATGTGGAAATGTATGTCTTTTATGCTTCAACTGGAGGAATAAAGGGGAGAGGAGAAAATAGGAGACAGACCCCTGTAGGACAAGGGGAGAAATCCTCATCCATCCATCCCTCACAGCCAAGAAAGGATATCAGGAGACCCCCAGTGGAAGGAGATTACTATCACAGTTTACCCACTAGTATTTATATTTGATTGTAGCACGGACATCTTACATTTGGTTTAACTAAAGACCCGATAGCTTATATAGCCTCCTTTATGGTCGGGCTATAGAGTGAGGTCAACACAGTGAGTTCACAAAGAGGACTTTTATATATTTTTCATTTCATTTTTTCAATTGTTTAGTTTTTATTATTTTTTGAAACTCTTAAAAATAAATAAAAATGAGAAATACATTTTTATTTTTTAGTCTGTTATTTTAAAATACATTTTTTGATGTCACACATGATTGGTATATTTCACTTGCATTATTAATATTATATTATTGTCATCATGGTTTTTGGCATGGCATCTTACTTTTCATTTCTGATTGGATAAATAGGTTATACCCACTGAAAATCTTTATTAAGATTGTAAACAGTTGCACGGTTGTGTGGGAGGCTTTATATTATTAAAATTTATCACAAGGAATATATTTTTGGGTGGAGCGCGACACAATTTATCATTTATCATTCGTTCTTTGCTATCCTGCTGTCTCTCTCCCATTCTGGTGTCCTATGGCGTCTTTCAGCCCTCTTCTGGATCGTGTAATATTCCCAGCCCCACCCACTCTTTCCTTGCAAGCCGCTAAGTGTGGAAACCATGCGGGGGAAGAAAGACAGCAGCCGGGCAGCTTTCTGACCACTACAGCGGCAGACCATACTCCTTTGACCAGAGCGCTGGTGCCAATCTGGGGGCGACCTGTGAGAAAGGACAAGCCTGCAGGTTAGTTCAGCCCTCCCGATGGCTGCCCCACAGGGGTACCATCCGACCTTCCCCGGTCTTCTGGTCACAAGAAAACAACAAACG